AACAACTGATTCGTGCTTTGAATGAAAAACCAAACCTATTCAAATATCAGTTGTTTATCTGCAGTTTAATCAACTTTTTAACTGAAAGCAGTTTTTGTTTAATAACCGGTAATCAGTTAATCATTAACATCCCTAGTATCAAGACGTTTCATGTGTAAGTATCCATGCAAAAGTTTTTATTTATGACTAATACATTATTTCGTATGGATGGGCATAGCTATTTGAACAATGGACACAACCATATCTTAGCATTTGCATAGCTTCAGGTATTCAAAAAAGGCATCTGCAGTCTAAAATGCAGGCCGTCTGATTTTACAAGTGATTTCAAAGAATGTTTTTGAAACATTAATGAGGCTTTCAGATTTTGGTTTATAGATCTATAAGTACTTTAAACAGTAAAATAAAGCAAAATAAAGTAGGTCATGAGAAAAAATGAAACTGAATAAATACAAGCTGAGATTTTGTATAAGTTATGTTGTTGGTTATGTATTTCGTCCTGTAGATTTCGGTCATGGTACAACTTAAATTAAGGGCTTCAATTAAAAATAGCTTATTTTAAAGCCTAATACTTTCTTAAAACAAGAACAAAAATTAATGCATATTGATCTGATTCGATACTCAAGGTTTTGGTATTGGTATCGTCTCAGAAAAGAAAAAATAGTATCGTGCCATCTGTAGGATCAATCATTAGCACATTGATAATAAATTTGTGGAAAGTTCTAGGGCAGCCAGAGTGATGCTCTGGTTAAGGCACAGCCAACATAGGATTCCACACTTCTTCTTTGGGTCATAACAAAAATCCCACCACCACACAGGTACATTACCTGCGACAACTTACGTGTCACTTGGCACTGCCCCTCAGCCTGAGGCTCAGCTTACCTCTGTACAATAGGTATCATTAGCCCTGTTGCCAATGTGGGGACACAAGCTGTATGTTAATAGGTTTATGGGTAATTGTAGCCTTGGTAGCTTCTGTTACTGTGGCACCATTTAGGTATATGACTCTTCCACACTTTTGCAGAATGTGGCAGATATTTTTAATGGTCAGGAGTATTCAGTTCTGGTCCTGAAGGGCCAGCGTCCGGCACAGTTTGGTGATTCTCCTGCTGAAACACGCCAAGTCTGTGAAAGATTCCTTGTAGCAATTCTATAGAAGAACCAGTTTAGCTTTCAGTTAATGGATTTAGAAAAAATTAATGATTGAAAGTTTTACAGAATCCAAATCTGGTTCTTTTATGAAATTGCTTCAAATAACCTCTTTTGGCAAGAAGGTTATTTGGAGCAATGTCATAAAATATAGTAGTATTCTTGCGTTTCGTGTGACGTCACACTGTATAGTCGCCACCATTTTGAGGACCAAATCAGGGAGTGACCGCGCTACACAATGCCTTCAATGATTCACCAGTTTTCACTCCAGGCTTGGAGCCGCTGCACTGTATAGTTTAGTGTTTCTCTCTGCTGTTCACACCTCGTTCAGCTCAAGAAGTGATTAATTAGCTAATAAGATCAGGTATTTTAACCAGGAAACCACAGTTATGCAGTGCAGGGGTTTCAGGACTGGAGCTGAATTCTGAACTAACTGCACTAGTAAACTTACAGAATCACGTCTGTCGAAACACGACATCGTTTTACGACCCACGACATTCAGTCTGATATTTAACACTTATGATTCTCCATTCAAACCTGATTTAAATCTCCAGAAACACAGAGTAAAGTTATACCGGCTGTCTGCAGCTCCGTTAGGGGGACGCCTGTTTATCTCTCGGCTGGTAGCATCAGCTAAAGTTATCTAAAGTCCAGCATTGTTCAGATCTGTGTTAATTAGCTGATGTCGTTACCCTCCTATGATCACAGAGTGTTTTCTCCTCTTTATGCAACACCATGGGGTCCTTTACCCACCCTGACGTGAAGAGCCGGTGGGCTTCTGTGCTTTTAAATGCTTTGAGAGACTCTTCGGAATAGGGGGAGGGGCTGAGTATGAGATCAATATAAACGTCAGGAAAACACAAATTTGGTAGCTTTTCTGCCAGTTTAAGTGGAACCAGGAGTTCAGGGGAAACTGTATAAGGATCACAGCCTGTTTTATCGACTTTGTCGAGGAAACGTTTTTTCTCTTCCAAAGTCAGGAGAGTGATTTTATCCATCTTTCACCTCTAGTTACGTTCGTGTGGAGCACGACAGAAAAATCATGTGACTGAAACCATAGGATAGGCATGGGCATACTAGTATACTAAACCTGACAATTAACATATTAGCATCAGATTTGTTTGAGCGTGGAAACCGTCAAACTGTGAGGGACAGTTCTGCTCCCTCCAGAACCAAACTCAATACTTCTGCTAGGTTCTTTTTTGACACTGTTGTATGGAAAAGGTAGCAGGTCTGTTTGGCCCAAACTTTTTAGCAGCATAGATCAAATTGCAGCCCAAAATAGTTTGTATGAACCAAAGGGGCGATCTGCGATCTGGGGGAGGGGAGGGTTAGTATCACCGCAACATACATGACTAGCCATATTTTACCATTTGTTTTCAAATCGGGAAGAAATTGCATGACTTCAATCAATTTTGCACATTAGCATCCACAGTTATGATGAATATACACCGATCAGGCATAACATTATTGTCTGTAACTGTAGAACTACAAAGTGCACCTATATAGTAAGTGGAGCTGATAAAATGGACAATGAGCGTAGAAACAAGGAGGTGGTCATAATGTTATGCCTGCTCATTGTAAATTTTATGCAGCTGTCATCATATTTTATGTTGAATATTGTTTTTTTTATCTTAGTATTGTTTTCATTCTGCCCTGCGATGGACTGGCAACCTGTCCAGGGTGTATCCTGCCTTCCGCCCAATGACAGCTGGGATAGGCTCCAGCACCCCACCGCGACCCAGAAGGATAAGCGGTTTAGATGATGGATGGATGGATGGATGGATGTTTTCATTCTAGTCTTATAAATAAAAAGCCCAAATAAAAAGTTTGTGAATATTATCATTTTTATCATTTTTTGCCATCTTCCTTATGCTAGCTATCAGCAGAAAGCAGCCACTTCCAACCCACATTCATGTATGAGGCCATGTCAAGAATATATTGAAAATAATAATTAAATAAAAAAAATGTTAATATAGTGTTTATTTATTTGTGTAGTTCAGCAGTTAGGCTTCTAACTCCCCTTCTTCTGGTATCAGTCCATGACCATGATTGGGAAACTCCGGCTTAAACAATGATAGCATGTCAGACATCGCTGTAAAGCAGGTAAGAGGGTAAGAGTATAGATTTATTCATGTTATGACACAAATATGAATTTAAAGTTTTTTTTTATTATTTTTGGAAAGGGATCTAATTAATACAGTGGCCACAGAGCGTATTCTGTAGCAGGTTTCGAAAGCGGTCATGGAGGTCATTTCACCCAGAAGCTGCAGATGGCTTTGGCTTGGTTGGGTAAGCAAGGAGGCCTCATTGCCCTCAGTGTGGTTTTATGCAAAGAGGCCTGATGACATGAATAACGTGTTGAGACTGAGGGTGCGGAATGGGCAAAATCCAAATAAACCACCTGTCTGGCAGTGAGCTCATTTGACTGACCCACTCTGAAGCTCCAGAGGCCGCCTGGCTGGCCATCCGTTCTCGAGGTGCTCGAGGAAACCACTCACTCCACATCAATGGCCCTCATTCACCTCTCCCATCCCTCCAATGCGGCAGCCCTGTTTATTTGCCCACGGTGGTCATCACCAGACCCTTACTGGAAACAGGGATCTTGTAGGATCGTCTCGAACAACCAATCCAAACATGGTTCTGTCACATCCCTAAACGAGGCCCATTAATGCAAAAGAAGGGGTTTCGAGTAGTTCAGGAGCGGTTAAGGCTGCGCGGATCAAAGGGATTACAGAGGGGAAAGCTGGAATTCCTTACTTGCGAAGCAGCTTCTCGGCAAGAGACGGGGACTTCAAACACCCCCTCTGCCTTCTCTGAGGCCTGTGTGCTCGACAGTAATGTGCTTGTTTTTGCGGTGCGTTTGATCTCACCGTAAGCTCACCACTGTTCTTCTTACAGAAGGCATCCATAGCTCCAAGAAAGTGCCGGATAAGAGCGGCATGGCGAGAGTCAGCTCTCAGGGATTAATTATGGTATGCTGATATGAAAACACAAGCTGCAGAAATGTCGGTCTGCTTTGCTCATGACTGGCTTTCAGGCTCGTCATAGTTTTGCATGGAGCACTTGTTTTTTTGTTGGGATGGAGCCGAGTGGGTTGGGGGGGTGTATTAGGCAGGTCAGTGCTTGACATTTCGCAGGTCAGTGCTTGACAGGAAGAAAACCTTGTATCTCCATTTTTGTCGTTTTCCAGTTTTTGACATAATTTGAAAATGCCTGTTGTCCTTTACACTGTGTGTGAATTTCATGATGAATAGACCAAAAGAAACGGTCCAAAACAACTTGGAAAGACATCTGGTTCCATTGACTTACATTAAAAGTAAAGTATTTTTTCCTTTTCCTGTAAAGTTACCAGGTTAGGTTTTCTTCAGGCAACAGGGATATGTTCTTTTTTCTTCAGTCATTTTGCGGAGCCAGACGTGACCTTGAAAGTGAAATCAAATTTGGGGACAACTTCTTAAACATTTTGGCACTGGTGAAAGGGTCCATGGGGGTCCTGACCACTGAAGAACAGGGTAAAAGGGGGCTAACAAAGTATCAGAGAAACAGATGGACTACAGTCTGTAACTGTAGAACTACAAAGTGCACCTATATAGTAAGTGGAGCTGATAAAATGGACAATGAGTGTAGAAACAAGGAGGTGGTCATAATGTTATGCCTGATCGGTCTATGTATGCCTGTTATACCATGCTATAAGTTATAGTACACTACAGTATAATGCACCATGGAACCGCCCCTCAAATTTCCATGTATTTTATTAATTTACAATACCTGAAGTCATAAACCTGGATTGCGTATGGTGAGACGAGAACAAAAAATAAATACATTTTCTAATAAATGCCTTTCTTTTGCAGTTTGTGGTGACCATGTTCTGGACCTTATATCTGTATGACAGAGACCTTGTGTATCCAAGACTCTTGGACAACTTTATACCTCAATGGCTGAACCATGGAATGGTGAGTGCTTAATCCATTTTGGATTAATACTACATTAATACAGTAATACATTAATACAGTAAAGACTCAAGTATTTTTAACCGAAAATCCCAAATTTATCATTACTTGAGACCATTGTTAGGTTTAGGTGGTATAACGCTAATAACATATACTGCATTATTTAAAAATACTCACAGTATTTCAAAATGACGTCAAATTTCTGTTCCACGTCTAAACAGCCAAAAAAACACATTCCATCCATTAATATTTTGGACCGGCTCACTGATTGGTGATGTGGGAGAGATGTGGGATAGGTGGCGCTGATAGAAAGAAGGGAAAAATCAGAGCCAGGAAAAAAAACAGAAAAACTAAGCATGAAAGTGGCTCTATGATGGCTAAGAGCTACACACACCTCAGAGCAGGTTTCGATTTCAGCTTTCAATCTATGAGAGTCACTCAACTATATGCTCCACGACGTCCTCTTAAAGGGTGTCACTTCAGCATCAGTTAGCATCAAGCCTGTGATGTGGATGGGACCAGTCCTATAACGGTTTCGGGTCCGATGTTGACGTCACTTCACTCAATGGATATCGGATAGACAGGGACGATCCACTTACCGATCCATATTCCAGTCTGTAGCTTGGGCTGGACCATGAATCCGCTGTAACGTAACATTACATAACATACACATCACCAATCCAGATTCCAATCCACATCTTACCATGAACCAGCAGCAACTTCAGTCTGTTAACTGAGTGAGCAGATAACATCAGCTGTTGGTTTGACCACTATGTTGTTTGTTTGGAGATATTTTAGTCTGGAAACGATGAAAAGCAAGATAGCTACCTGTAATGTATGTAAAGCCAGCATGCTGAGCGGTGGAAGTGCGGCTACATCGTACAATACAACCCATTTAATCGCATGCAGAGGTTTCACGTGAAAGAGTACCAGCAGTTCATGCTTGCTATCAGATGGGAAGATGCCACCCAGCAGCGAATCTCACTGATGCTTTCGAGAAACATGATAAACATCCAGCACACAACCCAAAGGCTAAAGGAATCACAGAGAAGTTGCTCAACTTCATCGTACTCGATGACCAACCGCTATCTGCAGTGGAAAATGTCGGAATTGGCAGCCTGTTGGAGAACTTAGATCCCAGGGATAATCTGACATCCAGAAAATACCTTTCAGGGATTCAGAGACCGCTGTACAATCAGGTGTCATCACCGTTAGCGGAGCAGCCAGATAGATGTTAAAGCCATGAGCTTCACAACTGATGTTTGGATCTCAGATGTGAGTCCAGTGTCTCTCCTTAGGTCTCACTGTACACTGGGTGAACTCAGAAACATACACACTACAGACAGGTGAAAAAGTACAGGGGTCACACACCAGCAGGTCAGCCGCAGCCTCCATTACAGACATGCTCAGTGATTGAAGATTAAACACCTTAAATACAGCCTTAAACACAATACCAACAACAATAACAATAATATTAAAATAAAAAGAGCTCTTGTATCGGAATCAGATCGGAAACGATAAAACGTGGATCGGCCCATCAGATCTTATTACCTTAGCTTAAACGCTACAGTTCAAAACACTATGGAACAGGTTTGATTTTGGCTTTCTGTCACTCCAACACTACTCGATTAACTTCTGCTCTCAGACTTTAGTTTTTATCATCTGTACTTGTTTCAGCAGGGCGCCAGTTGGTTAGAATCAAACTGTGGCGTGGTTAGGGTCCGCAGACGGCACAGAAGCAGCATACATTTTTTTGTTTATGACCCAAGCCATCCTAATAATACCGTATACCGCAGTAATATATGGAGATTGTTTAAAGGTATGGAACAAGAGGATATCACCCAACCCTATTTGATGCACGTGCAAGACGATAATCGATAGTTGCCTGATTTCATAAGAGTCCTGTCTTGTACTTTATAACCTGCTTTTCTAAGTGTGCTTATTTATGTCACTCCATTTTAATATAGATAAGCTATTTTACCGAACCATTAATTAAAAACAACTGCTTATTATCAAGATGAGTCATCTGGGTACAGTGCGTTCTATCAGATATCTCATTAATCTCATTATTCTGATGAGATTTTTTATTCTGATGAAAATCTCATCAGAATAAAAGGTCCCACTTTATATTAAGTGTCTCTAATAACTGTGTAGTTACACATGAATACCATATGCAACAACACTGTAACTACTGATGATTTAGTCAGTGTTACAGATGGATTGCAGAAGTACAGCCTATGTAATTACACATGTGTATCAACTTCAGTTTTGCCTCATGTAATTACAGTGTATCTTCTACACAGGAACTTTCCTGTAGTGCAGTGTTAAAGTTACACTTTGTAATAAGTGGACAGTTCCTGTGTAGTTGTTATGTAGGTACTGTGTAATAAAGGAGAGGTAATATAGACACTGCTTTGGGTTTAATGCAACACATTTAGTTAATGTCATAACAGTAACATGTTAAGATAAGGGGTCGTCTGATGTTCTGTCACATTACAGCTGAAACTGGTTACAGTATCACAGCACTAGCAATAAATGCTAGCTAAATGTTAGACAAACTGGCAGACACAGTGTAAGTAATGCCTTAGTGTACATTATTAGATATTCCTTTTACTGCTGGAAAAAAAAGTCTAAAAAATACTGTTCCAGTCTGATTACAAATGTACTTACATTTGTTATTAATCTTGTGTAATTACATGAGAGAGAATAGGCTGTTACAACTATTAAGATACACTTGTGTAATTACATGAAGCAAAACTGAAGTTGATACACGTGTAATTGCATAAGCTGTACGTCTGTAATCCATCTGTAACAGTGGCGAAATCATTAGTAGTTACATTGTTGTTGCATATGTTGTTCACATGTAACTACACAGTTATTAGAGACACAGTATAAAGTGGGACCGAATAAAAAATTGCCCTGAACCAGAAATGTGATGTATTGTATCTGGACTTTCATCTACATTCCCCAGCATTTGGAAAATGTCATCAGTGCACCAGAGTAGAGACAGCATGCCTAACAACACCTGTTAATTAAACTTCTCTTAAATTTCTAACCCAAACCTTTTTTTTTGCAATTGTGCCACTCTTTGCCAGATTGTTCCAGCAAACACACAACGTAGTCTACTTTCTTACAACATTGCTACAACGTGCTTTTTACATTGTCTGAACAAGGTTGTCACAACCTCATTTAAGCAATAGAACATGAGAGGGAGTGTGTTATCACACAATAACAACCCAGCTGTGAATTGGTCACCATAGATCATCACAGCCGTGATGTTATTGGCGATAACACACTCCTCGAGTGTTCTATTGCTTTTATACAACAGTTAAATAAATAAAGTAATAAATTAATAAACTGGGCCGTGAACGCGGCGTTTAATATGTTTTAATGTTCGCAGTTCCTTCACCAAATTATAGTTCCTTAACGAGCAGCTTGTTGCTACGTCAGAGTAACGAGCTCCGCCCACTCGCTGCACAGCCGGCAGTTCGTTCTCCAGCTCCTTACACTAAATTCCCAAACTGTCATCACCACTGAGCAGCTTTTCAGTCGGCAACTGTGACAGAAGAACAGCTAAACAACCTGGAATCAGCCAGAAATGAACCCAATACCATTCGCCAAACGTGTAGTCTGATCTTCAGAGTCTGACCAAATCAGACTGAGCTGTAAAACTGCCACAATATCAAGTTCAGCTCAGTTTTGTCAGTTTTTTCCAGATCAGTATTAATGTTGTTTTGTTCCAGCCAGTCTGTAAAGCATCTTATGGTGTTGGGTTCATTTCTGGCTGATTCCAGGTTGTTCAGCTGTTCTTCTATCTCAGCTGCCGACTGAAAAGCTGCTCAGTGGTGATGACAGTTTGGGAATTTAGTGTCGTCTCATCTTCAGAGTCTGACCAAATCGGCTGTTGGTCAAATGTGATCTTAAAAGTATCCATTTTCTGTTTGTGGCAAAGTAAGAAGTAAAAACGTCCAAATGGCTCCAACAGCTGTCAAAGCCGTCTCAGCGGAGTGATACAGTGTTTGTGAAAAAAAAATGCTGTTATGGCGAAACAACAGCACGGTTAGAGCGCTTCTCAACTGCTTGCGTGGCCAGAACTGTTGTGTAATATTCAGTAACGTTGCCATGCGGTATTATGACTACCTGTTGGCAACTTAGCAAAATTCCATTCCAAAAGAGCACCATGCACAATATAATGGAACCTATGGGGATTCTATGACGTTGTGAGAAGGTACTGACAACATTGCCACCACATTTTCACAACGTTGTCAGATAATGTTGTTACAACGTTCCGAGGAATTACATTTCAACGTTGTGACAAGGTCACCGTGTGAGCAGGGGTGCTGATGCTTTCTAGCACCTTATAAAACCATTCCAATAGAGCCCTTACTATGAAATTACCCTCAAGAAGAAAGACTAATGATATTTTTCGAGGTCACAGAGTTCTGCAGTATAGATCCTCCTTCACTGTCTGCCTTGGACAAAAGTGAAAGCATACATTGTTCATTTTAATCTCTAGTACTATATTGACGTCAATTATTGCGTGTAATCAAGAATGAGACATAAAGGAACCATTGATTTCAGGTGGAATACAAAACAAAAGCTTGCAACAGCCTTGACCGGCTTTATTTTTATGACAGGTCAGTCTAATGAATGATGGTCGTGATCAGTATCATGCATGTCTGTGGCACTCCTGTAGTTCCTGCTACAAAGAGCATGACACTTTCGTAATCCCTACAGGCTTTAGTGATTTTAACACAATCAAGCAAACCAGTCTGAACCACATAGAGAAAGGAATGTAAAGTAAAACAGTTCTGTCCCACCACATTATTATGATAGGCAGAGTCAAGTCAGGGCATTTAATGATATACACCCATCAGGCATAACATAATGACCACCTCCTTGTTTCTACGCTCATTGTCCATTTTATCAGCTCCACTTACTGTATAGGTGCACTTTGTAGTTCTACAGTTACAGACTGTAGTCCATCTGTTTCTCTGATACTT